GGGAGCAGGGGCCGGGGCGGAGGGCCAGGGAGGGCTGGCGCGCACAGAGGCCAGGGCCTGGCAGTGCCCTCTGCAGAGGAAGCGCAGCGGCGACTCCAGGACACGCAGACGAAGGTGAGCGTGACGGGACGCGGCAGAGTCCTGCTGGTTGTGGACTCCGGCCCTGGGGTGGGAGAGCTGAATTCGAATCCTGGCTCTGCCACAGCGTCTCTGCGACTGTAGATCTGGCACTTCGCCTTTTGAACCTCAGATTTTTCATCCATAAAACGGGAGTAAGGCTACCACAGGCGTTCCGAGCTGTCACGGGGCAAAACAATGATTAAAACCTGCCCCCAGCCGGCAGCTGGTCACGTGAGCTGTGTTTCCCTCACCTGGCCTGGGGCCAGCCCTGGGAGTGTTCCAGCCAGCAGGATAGTTTTCAGTTGAAAGTAACAGACTCCCAGGTAAGTGTAAACAAACAGTAAATTATGAGCTACTGCAAGTGGAAAGCAGAGGCTGGCTTAGGCTGCAGGCGTGGCCCGATCCAGGGGCTCAAAACGGCGCATCACGACTCCTCCCTAACCTCGCGCTGGTCCTCACTCCATCTCCTCTGTGTCGGGTTCACTGCAGGGGCGTCCGTCACGGCGGAAGCGGCTCAGGCCCATTTTCTCCTCAACAATCCCAGGGAACGGAGCACGTCTTCCCCAGGTGTTCTAGCGAGCATGGACTCTGTGTCATCCCACCTGGCCGCCAGCCCTGAGCCGATCAATGTGACCAAGGATGGGCTCTAGCAATCGGCCGGATCCACATGTCCACCTGGGAGCTCCAGGGCCAGCTGACCACACAGACAAAGGCTGGGTGGGTCCACACAGAAGAACACAAGCACTGCGACCAGGGGTGGGGCGTGGGCCTGGGGGGATAAGAGCAGCCAACATCTCCCACAGAGTCTGTCAGGATTACGGTGAACGAGTCAATCCCTGAAGCATAAATGCCGGCCCTCGTCCCGGGGATGTGTCCCATGACGCTGAAGCCAGGATGGTGCCGAGCGCATCCATGCTGTTTTCCTAGACACGAGGCCTGTGACAAAGTTCAGTGAGGCGGGCCCAGCAGAGACTGTCGCAGCGACTAATAACCAAGTAGAACCAACGAGAGCCACCTCTGTAGGGAGAGTCGAGCGGGTGGGCTGTGCCTCTCAGAGCCCCTGGCAGTCCTAGCACTCTAGATCCCGGGGGCTGTGGAGCTGAGGACTGGGACCTGCGGTGGCCTCAGCATGGGCCGGTGAAGACGAGACAAGGGGCCGGTAGGGACCGTCCCATTTCGGCTTCTCCAAGTCCCTCCTTGCGGCCCAGACGCGGTCGCAAGCCCAGGAGGACCAGGACCGAGGCCTGGGGTTTCCCAAGGCAGCACCAAGGACCAGGAAAGACAACCCTCGTCTCCTCTGGCCCTTCCTCCGCCACAGTGAAGTCACCAGAAAGCATCCCTGATTGGAATTGCGAAAGCTGCTTTGTAGCTTCGAGTTGTCAAAGGGGGGTTGTTTTATTCGCGTGCACGGCTCCCTTCTGGAGCTACCTCCACGCACCAGGAGCTGCCCCTCCCAGCGCAGGAGGGGTTCTGGGCCCCGAGTGCTGGCTTCTGCCTCGGGGCTGTGGGGTGCAACAGCCTCCCCCCGCCCCCTGCCTAATGTAATGCCATCCACCCTTTAAAGCTCGACTTTGCACACTTCACTTACAGGCAGAGGAGCGCTGTGACGTGGCCCCCTCGCCCAACCGCCTTTGCAACGAACTGTTTCCTATTCCTGTTACTTCTTTTTGATTTAAATAAATGAATTGAGAAAGGAATTTTATGTCACCAACTCATGGAAAACCAGCATCACTTGCCTTAAGTACAAGACAAATACAGAATTCAATTCAGTTAAAGCAAACAACGCCACCAAGTCCTGAGTCGACCACCGGCCCCGAAGTGGGCATCTGGGCACCGGGGGGCTTTCTCCGAGGACGCTCAGCCGATGGCTCGGGCTCATGTACGGGTCATCCGGGAAATGCAGATCGACCCCGCAAGGTGCCGCCTCGCGCCGCCGGATGGCCACTGGCCATACAACCAGAAAAATCAGGGTTGGTGAGGATGGGGAGAAAGCGGAGCAGCCAGACTGTCGGGAGGCCCGGCTCGGGGAAGACCGCGCGGCCCTGGCTGGAAAGAAGCTCTGAAAAGAAGGGGCAGCCTGCCCTGTGTGACGGAGGGGGTGGTGCTGCGTGAGCCTCATGAGGAGAAAGACACTTGGGACACTGGCCTGAGTGCGGGGTGTGGAGAGCAACACTGCGAGTCAGACGGCACAGGCCAAACACGAACCCTAGAGAATGACAGCCTCTGTGCTGCCAGAGGGCTGGGGTGCAGGAAGGATGGGGGACGGGTCCCCATGATGGGGGGAGGACTTGGGTGCCTTGGACCCGGAGGGGCTGGGGTAGCATGTCTGCAGGGGGAACCCGTATTCCTGAATCACATACCGTGTCGGAATCCACTGTGACCTTAATTAAAAAAACAAGCTATAAAAATATCACCAACAGGACCAGCCTGTGATGCAGCGACGTCCCTCGCAGACCGGTGGGGATGGTGCACCCAGGAGCGTGGGTGCAGGGCACCCAGCGGGGCCACCCAGTGCCCGTGGTGGGTGCGTGCACAGGCCAGAGCGGTCCCTCCACACCGTCCACACCGCGGAGCAGGATCCGGCCTCGCAAGGAGGGCTGCGCGGACACGCGCTGTAACGGGGACTCGGGACACTGGGCCAAGCGGAAGGACCTGTCACGGAAGGACAGATGTTCCACGTGTGGGGGTCCCTAGAGCCGTCACACAGAGACAGAGTGGGGGGGTGTGCAGGGACGAGGGGGGCGTGGGGAGAGATGGGCGCTGTTGCATAATGGGCGCAGAGTTTCAGTCTGACAAGATGAAAGAGTCCTGGAGATGGATGGTGGTGGTTGCACAACGATGTGACCGCAAGTAGCGCCACTGGACTGTCCACTTCAAAATGGCCACGATGATAAATTTGATGTTATGCGTATTTTACCACAATAAATAGGGGAGAGAAGTCCCAGTGAGCAGTGTGGCTGGCCCAAGGCTCCAAACCCGAGGCCTGCTCGCCCTTAGCTCAAAAGGAAAAGCACTGGAGAGCGTGGGGTTCACACCCAACCGAGGTGTCCGCACAGCCAGAGGAGCAGGAGCGGGAAGGTGCCCCCTGAGTGTGTGCTCAAGGCTGGGGGCTCAGGGTGCTGCAGGGACTGGAGCAAGCTCTGCCTCCTCCGACCACGCTCTCCTCACTCTCCTGGCCTCACCTGCCCTGTGCTCTGCGCCCAAGTTCCTTCTCCGCCCCAGGCTAGAAGGCCCTGGCGACCCCGTCACAGAGTCCCAGGCTGGCCCGTGCTGGTGTCGTGCAGGCTGTGGGCGCTGACCCGGGAGAGCGGGTCCGGGTGTGCACGTGCGTGCGCGTGCTTGTGTGCGTGTGTGCGCAGCCTTCTCTTTCTAGCTGACTACTATTTATTTTTCCCTCTAGCCGTTCCCCCCAGTGCATGAATTTCCCTTTGCAGGTGATGGATTTGTTCATTCCCAAAAAAGAGATAATGGAGTGAGGAGGAATTCAAGCCTTGGAGGAACAAAAGATGGCGCCCGTCCTGGGTGTCTCCTGCCGCGCACGGAAGGGGACGCGGAGACTCCCTCCAGAGCCCGTGCCTGCTGGGGGGCAGGTGACCCTCAAGGAGGAGCCTCCTCCTGCCCCACTCTGTGGACTCAGACCCAAGGGCTGGGCAGGCGGGAGGGGGCATCGCCTCAGCTCTGGGGTTGAGCACAGTCCCGGCGACTGCAGCTCGGGAATCCAGTACCCAGAAAGCAGTGGTGCAGAAGCACCCCTGTGGGCAGGGGCGGGCGCGGCGGGCGGCCAGCTGTCAGCTGGAGGCTTGCAGGTGGGGGTCCGAAGGCCCCTTCACCCGCGGGTGGCGGGCGCTGGATCCGAGGCCTCGCCCCTGGGCCTTGGGCTTCCTCACAGCATGGCCGCCGTGGCCTGGGGCAGCGAGGACAGTGACCTGCGGCACCGCGGCCGCGCGTGTGACTTCGCTGTCAGTGGCTCCCTCCCTTCTGCTCCGCTCACCGCTGAGGAGACCGGTGTCGGGGCCGAGCGCCTCCCACGTCTTGAACTTGAAAGATGATTAAAAAGCAATAGAGGGGGGGTGTCTCGCCTGGGGTAGGGACCGCCTCATGCAGCCACCCGCTCTGTGGGGGCCTGTGAAGTGGGGGCGCCCCGGATCCTCACTCCTGTTCTTTGTAGACTTTGCTCCCAGACCAGCGCCCGCCCCGCTGGGGGTGAGCTCGGCGGCAGGTGGGGGAGGCCCAGTGCCATGAGTCACGAGTGTAAAGTGCACCCGGGCCTTGGCAGGCTGTCCTGTGCCAGGCTGAGCTGTCACCCCGGGCCCTGAGAAGGATTCTGTCCCTCACACGCGCGTGGAGGAGAACAGCCTTTGTGCCGTGGAGCGCACCTCTCCTGCGCTCGGGCTGGGGGCTGCAGTCCTGGGGGCTGCAGTCCTGGGGCAGCAAAAGGGCGGGGGTGGGGTGTGCCTGCGAGAGCGCACGTGTGTGCGCGTGTGCATATGTGTATTGTGCTCGCGCCCGGCCTTCAGCGCTGTCCCTGCCCCCGCCCACCGCGCCCACCGCGCCCACCGCACCCGGCACCCGCCTGGCTGCTCCCCCCGCCCCCCGCGGGGCCGCTGCGTTTGGGCTGCGCCCCCACCCCCCGCGCCTGGGAAGCGACCCCCGCGCGCCCCGGGTTCAAAGGCCCGGGCGCGCAGCTCCAGCCCCTCGGGGGGCGGGGAGGCGAGGGGGTGGCGCGGGAGCCAGAAAAGCCGGAGCCCAGCAGCGCGCGCAGGGATGGGCAGCGCGCTGCGAAGTGAGTGACTCTGCAGCAACTTCTGGCCGGACGGGCCGGAGCCGGCGCGGCGACGCGGCAGCGGGAGGCGCGGCCAGTGCCCGGCCCGGCGCTCTTGGCGGCCACAGGCTTCCCTCCTCCGGGCCCGGCCCCGCGCCTGACCGGGGTTCATGGAGCTGGGGCTGTGGCTCCTGCTGGGACTCACCGTGGCCTCCGCCGCAGGTAGGCGGGCGGGGCGCGCGGCTGCACAAAGGGCGGCGGGACGGGGCGCGAGGAAGGTGCGCTGAGGGGAGCGGCCTGGGCCCCCGGCCCCGGCCGGGGAGGGCTGCGCGGTGGGCTGGGTAGGCTGCAGCCCGGGAGCAACTTGGCTCATTTTTCCTGAAGTTGTGAACTTTTCAAAAAGTTTGCAAATCATTTTCAGAAACGGTAAACTGCTTGCACGGTTTGCAGGGTGTCCAGAGTGCGTGCAAGTTTTCAGCGCGATGCAAAGAGCTTGCAGACTTTGCAGAAAGTGAAAACAATTTGCATGCTTTTCAGCAAGAATGCACTCCCTGCACACTCTTCAGAGCCTGTGCTCAGAGCCTTGCACGCTTTTCAGCAGACTTTACAGAAAGCGCAGCTAGCTCGCAAACTTGGCAGAGCATTCGGGGCCCCTCCCTCAGGAGCTTGGGCTCCGGGAGTGTCCTGGCCCTCAGGAGCCCCTCAATCTGCCACCTCCAGGACTGGAGCCTCACCCCCAACCTGGGGACGCGGGCAGAAGCGGCGCAGCCGGCGTCCCCCATGCGGCCGCATCCAAGGGGGACGCCAAGGACACCGTGACTGCGAGTCCCAGGAGCTCTGGCCGGGAGCAGGGACCCGGCCGGTCTGGGGAGCAGGCGGCCGGGGGGGACCCTGGGCACCACCGGGCCAGGCGCTGCACGTGTTTCACCTACAAGGACAAGGAGTGCGTCTACTACTGCCACCTGGACATCATCTGGATCAACACGCCTGAGTGAGTCGTGGGGCCGGGCGCGGGCCTGAGAGCAGGGCGGGCACCGGGCTCCCGGCGGGCCCACATGCTCGCATTCTGGGAGGTCCTGGTCCCGCCAGCCTGGAGCCTGCCCTGGCACAACCTGCTCTCTCGCTGGGGTCTCCTGCCCACCCAGGTCTGGTCTGCAAGACAGGGGGTGTGGCCCCCACGCCTTGGAGGGCCTGGCCCAGGAGAAACCCAACCCCAGAGCCCTGATCCGTGGGAGAGGGAGCCCCCCTCCAAGTGAACTGAGCCGCCAGAGGGATTAGTTACCCGAGACTCCCTCTGAGCGGGTGGGAGCCCCGAAAGTCATCTCTTGCCCCCACCTGACCCGCCAGATTCCGAGGAGTTTCAAATTCCTTGAAAGCAGGCTGTTCCCCAAGGAGCGCAGGGTGGGCTGGGCAGGCCTGGGGGCGTCTGCCTGGTCAAGGGAAATGCCACAGGCCCCAGGTCCCCTTCCTCTTGGGGCAGAGCACCCCTGGGTGCCACCCACTGCCACCCACTGCCACGTCCTGTTCAGCCCGCGGGGCACCCGACTACAGGTGGACACTGCCCGTAGGGGCCCTGGGGTCTGCCTTGCCCGAGGTCAGCCCTTGCCTGAGGCCAGGGCTGTGGCGCTCTGGGGGGGGCATACAGCACCCCCTGCCTTGCTCAGCGTCGGAGCCCCCTGGCAGAGAAGTCACCGCACCAGATGCCTGGCCCAGGCTGCTGCCCTCGGGCTCCCTTTCCTGACCTGCTGGTGGGGGCGGGGCCCGAGGTCTGCTGTCCTTAGGTTCTAGGGCTCCCTGGGGCTCCTGCCTGCGTCCCCCAGAGTGGGAACGGGTCTGGAAGGCCGGTCAGGGCCGTGTTGGAGCCCCTCGGCCATCCCCAGGTCTGTCCCTCACGGTGTCCTTTAGCCCTGAGGCCTCTGGTTGAGCACTCTGGGTGCAGCGGTGATGGGGTCGCCCACACCCTGGTTCACGGCCACCTTGAGGACGATGTGTGGTGGGGGTCAGCCTCCGGGTCCGGTGTCTTTCAAGCCTGGTGAGGAGACGGTGCTGGGCTGGAGAGCCGCCGGGCCCTTTAAAGGGAGGGTAGCGGGGACATGGGGGGCAGCTCTGTCCAGCTGCCCGATGCCACCTGCTCCTGCGTGGCGAGGGGTCACCTGACGGGTCCTTTCTGGTGCCCACCCTGTGGCGCCGGGGTCAGGGGACAGTGCCCCAGAGCCCAGCCAGGCAGGGGCAGCGAGACAGAGGTCCCCTTGGCTAGAACCCCGCTGTGGCTCCAGAAGAGGAGGGAGGAAGCCCGGCTGGGGGGCCGGGGAGCACGGGGTGGGGGGTGTCTCTACCTCTGCTCTTGCCTGTTGCCGAGCCCGAGCTCTGGCTGGGGCAGGCGGTTGCTCAAACTTCTCTAGGGGCTAAACAGACGCCCGGGGTGAGCCCCGTCCTGCCCCGCAATCTCGAGGGGCCCTGCGCGGCCGGAGAGCCCCGTCTCTGGCTCTCTCCAGGACAGTGGGCCCGGCAGCTGCGCCTCGGAGTTTGATTTACCGCTTCCCTGGTCTCCGACCCAGAGTCCCGGGAACAGCAGGGGGAGGGTCCATGCAGGGTTTGGGCGTCCCCAGAGCTCCTGGGGAGCGGTGTGACCATGGCCCGACTTGGGAGTTCTGAAGTGAGTCAAGAGCAGCGGTTTTTGCAAGACTTTCCCGACGGTCTGTCTCGCCCCCTGCTCCTCCCTCCCCACCCTCTCCTCCCGGACCGTGCCCGCCGCCGCCACGCAGACAGGCCTCTTGCCGTCTTCAGAATGTCTTGGACAGGATGCAGTCCAGCCCGGCAAGGTGGGCTCTGGGAACAGGGACACAGGCCTTGGGGAAGCGGCGGAATCGAAAGGTGACAGAATTGACCAACGGGAGGATAATAGAGCGGAAGGGGGGCCCTTCAGGGCCCCCTGCCTCCCGGCACACCCCCGCCTTAGCGTCACCTCTCCAGCGGGGAGGCCGGCCTCTCCCTGAGTGACGTCCCGGTCTCTCCACACCTCTCTGGGCCCCTGTGGAGGATTCCAGAACCTCATGCCTAGATCAGGTCTTGAGCTTGGGGTGATCTTCAGCTCTGGTGGCCTCTCTGCCCCTGTAGTCGCAGGCTATGGCCCCAGTGTCCCCCCGAGGATGGCGTTTATGGCGCGGGTGTTCCAGGATCTGCAGGAGGGACGGGGTACCAGCTCCTCTGCATTGCCGTGGGGTCAGCTAACGTCTAGTGGAAGCTCCAGAAACCGGTGACCCCCGAAGTCTCCTCTGAGTCTGAGACCTGAGGCTCTGGTTCTCCCGCCCTCCCCTGCGCCCTGGGTCTCCCAGACCTGTGCTGTGGGCCTCTCACAGCCCGCAAAGCGCAAGGAGACGCCCCATCCCGCGGGCTGCCCCGTGGCTGCTCCTGTCCCCGTAGTCTGCCCCGTCTCGCCCTGGGATCCGGCCTGCCGGGCTGTCCCACAAGCAGGGCTGCCCGCCCCAGGCTTCCCAACTCTCCTCGAGGGACACGGTCCCGCAGGCCTCGGGGGTGGGGGCTTGTCCAGGGACAGGCCCCAGCACTTCCATCATGTCCCCCAGGAAGCTCGTGGCCCAAAGAGTAGCTGGTGCTCCCGGGACCGTGCTCCTGGGTCTGTGCTCCGGCCTCTGGCTGGCTCCCTCGTGGCGTGGACGTCACAGAGGGATCACACCCGGCTATGGGGTGTCGGAGCTGTGCCCCCAGCCCCATGGGTCTGTCATTGACCGAAACATCCAGAATATACTGAAAACACAGCAGTGTCTGGGCGTGGCTGGGCCGTGTCAGAGAGAGGACAGGTGGGCCATGTGCATGTGCATGTGCATGTGTGTGTAACAAGTGTCTGTGGAAACGCGCACACACAGCGGCCGTGACTCCGAAGGCTCCGGAGACAGAATTCCTTCCTCTCCAGGGCCCCCGGTCTCCTGTCAGGGCCGTCCCGGGCGTAGACGCGGCCCACCTCCTTGACGCTCCTCTTGCGCCGTTAGCTGTGCCCCTTCCCGCCCCGCCTGCGCTGCTTCTCTGCCCTCGCGCCTCGCGGGTGACCGAGCGCCTGGGTTCCTGCTGGCAGGTGCTCCATGGAATTCACGGCGCTGTCGTCGCTCTAACTGTGCCCCGGGGGGGCGTGCACCAGGTGGACAGGGGTGCAGGGGACAGCAGCGAGGCGGCCACTGAGGGGACAAAGCGGGGTGTAGGCAGTGGGTGCCGTGGGTCTGCCGCCTGCTGGCCTCCCAGGACAGGCGAGGGGCGCTGGGCGTGTTTTCCAAATCTGAGCCACGGGCCTGGGATGTATTCACAGGCAGGGCGAGGCAGGAGGCGGCGGTCACACCTGCTGGGCATCTGAAGTGCCGTCCCGCCTCGTGGGGCGGCCTCGGGCCCGCGTGTCCAGTCTGACTTGCCGTGTGGTTGGGGCTGCTGGGCCGGCCCTCCTGCGCCCCCACGGGAGGGTGGCTTCAGGGCACCAAGGGGTGCCCCAGGCAGCACCAAAGGGGCCACGGCCACCCAGCCCGGCAGGAACAACCGTTCGTTCGGGGGTCTCTTCCTCCCCGGAGAAATAAAGACAACCAGCAGTGTTCGGGGTGTCTGCGAGCGTGTCCCGGCAGCTCCCTCTCGGCCCCTCCGTGCTGCTCAAGACCGGATGTTCCAAGAGGAGACGCCTCGGGCTGTAGCGCGTGGAGGGGACGGACCCGCAGCGCCGGGGTACGGGTGGGACAGCTCCACTGGTTGTCGCAGAGACCCCGACGTGCCAGCCCCACCTGGCCCGGCCAGCCGCGTCGGAGCAGGGGAGACCGGGCGTCGTGACGGCCACGGCAGTGCTGGCCCTGACTCCAGAAGTCGAGCTGTGCGAGGGCCACGTGAGCTGTGCGAGGGCCACGTGAGCTGTGCGAGGGCCACACTCACGTCCTGCCGTGGCCATGTGGATGGCTGCGAGGATGGCGCCCCCACGCTGGGCCTGAGGGCGCTCCCGGGGCCGGCCGTGCCTGCTGCGCCCGCACTGTGGCTAGAGGACCCAGCCAGGAGAAAGTCCTTCCCAAGCGCTGCCGAGCTCCCGGGACAACCCCCACAGGCCTGCCCAGGCTCCCCTAGCCAGCCCGCACCTCGCTGGGGACCCCAGTCCTTCCGCAGCCGTGGAGCTTGGTCTGCTAGCGTTGGCGCCAGAAGGTGTACATACCCGGGCAAGGTGTGCCCGCTGCCCCTGCTGCTGATAAGGATGCCATGGCCAAAGGTCGCTGTGGGCTGCGGGAGCCTCACCCGCCTTGGCCTCTCCTCGCTGGTTCCCAGCTGCTTGTGGCTGGGCCTGGGAATGGCTCCAGAGTTTGTGGGGGCCACGGTGTTCTCCGAGGCGCCAGCCCATGTGCCCTGTGTGACAGGGAGAGGGGAGCCGCCACCGGGCCGGCGTTTCCCGACCATCAGGACCTCGTTGGTGCTGGAATCGTGGCCGGGTCTGGTGGGTTGTTGTGTCCTCTCGGGCGGGTCCAGCAGAGAACATCTAAAAGGCCTTGTGAGTTGTGGACTGAGGGCCCGGGGGGCCGCGAGACCCAGGGGCGAGTGCCCGGGGTGTGGCTCCCTGGGTGTCAGCTCAGGAAAATGGTGTGAGAGAAACGGCGCTGGCCAGACAGACATGCCCTTGAGCTCAGGGCTCCTGGTCGTGGTGTGAGCTACTTGAGACTTTTTCCTCCCATGTCACCATTTCTCTCTCCTCCTCCGACACCTAATACATGTTTCCATCCCAGCTTTGAGTTCGAGTAGCACAGCCCTTAGAAACACTCCCCTGTGGTGTCTCAGCCAGACGGCCTCCGGCGGAGGTCCAGCTTGATGGGAAGGTCTGCCCACACAGGGCGGCCTTGCTAGGAGTGCCTCCCTCCCCGGGCCCCAGAATTCAGGGGTGGGGGCAGATGCCCAGGAGCCGGCTTCCGACTGGATGAGAGAGAGATTGTGCCGGGCCGGGAGGCCGCTGGGTGTGCAGCACGA